TTGTGGACCCCAAATTGGGGTGTGGTCAGAGACGAATACTGAGTGGCAGTCCCAAAAGACTGGGGCTCCAGTGGCCACACACCAGACACCCACTCTATGCCAGGCCCCGTGCTGGGAACTGGAGACACGTGGGTAGGCCAGAAGTGACCTTGCCCTCCAGGGACCAGAGGCTGGGGGCAGGTCTGCAGATACAGGAGCAGCTAGTTACAGTACAGCGGCATTCAAGGCCCCCTGTGACCTGCAGAGCCAAGAGGAGGCACCAAACCCAGCTGAGAGGATCGGGGGAAGCATCCCAGAGGAGTTGATCCTATAGGCACAGTACAGCTGAGAAGGTGGCCAGAATGTTCTTGACGAATCCACATTTGTGAGCTCCTCCAGAGCAAGGATTTTGTCTTATGCATCTTTGTGTCTCCCAGCAACAGGCATTTGGCCCAGCCCAGAACAAATATTAATGAAGACAAAAAAGGAAGGAAAGAAGGCAAGCCAGCCACAGAATGGGCACAGACAATGGCAGGGTGGCATGGACGTGTGGCAGAGGGTGAGATATAGCTGGGTTCCTATCTTGTTCTAACACTGCCGGGCGGAATGACCTTGGAAGCCACCTCACTTCTCTGAGCATCAAGTTCCTCATCTGTAAAATGGGGATAACAATAGGCATTGTTGTTGTTAGGCTGAAAAGTGGATTAAAAGCGTTTTTTAACAGATACCGGGATTATTCATGTTATAACCAATGTGTTGAGAAATAGCCTACCAAAAAATTTCCCTACACTCCCCAGTAGGCAAAGAGGTAGCTCCAGAGGTCACGGTAGACAGCCAGGGGCTCCCCATGAATCCTGACATTGAACTGGCCACCCTTGAACAATTCTGCATGTTTCCCCAGCCACGTTCCCAAAGGGGAAAGCCGGAAAGGGAGGCCCAGGTTTGTCTCAACCAACAGACAAAAGCTGGCTAATTAGGCAGGAAGCTAAGAACCCAGGAGGAAGAAATGGAATCTGAACAGGAAGGAAATAAGATGAGCATTCATTAAGATCTAGAGTGTGCCAAGGACTTACACTATTTGTTATGTCCACAGTGTGTCCTGGTTTATTGATGAGGAATCAGGAGCTCAGAAAGGTGAAGGGACTTTCCCAAGGTCATGGAGCTAAGAGGTGACAAAGATGTGATCTCAGCTTCCCAGGTCATTCTAGCCCCAAGGCCCTAGAACAACCTCTCATCAACCTAACACAGTGGCCTCCAAATGCAAAACTCAGTTCCTTCTCACACCAGCTTGGGGGACAACCAGGTTTGACAGCATGGCCAGATACAACAGCACCCCGCACCGACCAGCACCCTGCACCGACCAGCACCCTGCACAGACCAGCACCCCGCACCGACCAGCACCCCGCACCGACCAGCACCCCGCACCGACCAGCACCCTGCACCGACCAGCACCCTGCACAACGCCTTCCACGGCAAAATCAGCTTTAGAGGAACACTCAGCTCCCAAGACTAAGAAAGAAGGAGAGGCTCCTCTCTGCATGCTACTGTTTTCTTAAATAGCCTGCTGAACACTTTCTCAAGTCTGTGACCTCTCACAAGAGCTTTCTTGGTTTTAGAAAAGACAAAAAGTCCAGACAATTCTTTCAGCCAACCTTTCTCACTTCATTGCCCCGCCACTCTCTCCTCTCATTCTCTCTTATGTGGCTTTGAGCCGCTCTGTCTAGATCAGCTCTGAAATGTGAAGTCATAAGCCTTTCCACCTCTGTGAGGGTATTGGAATGAGGGACAGATGCATCTTTGCCATCCCCATAGTTACCTCCTACATGAGCAATATCCTTGGGAAGTAGCCCAGCCACTGTTTACCAGCACCACACTCTCTAAGACTAACTGGGAATTCTGACTTCCAGCCCTGGTTCTCCAGCGCAGAGCCATCCTGAGCCCCAGGCCATTTACATACAAGGGTGACCAGACCACCATCCATGGCCCATATGCTCCAGGCACCTCTCACTCAATGCATGCCCCCAACCTAGGTCCCCCAGTTTCTCCTTCAGTGGACAGCATCCCCTTGCCCAGCCAGCCAAGCCAAAATACCAAGGAGTCGCTCTTTTCCCAACAGGAACAAGTCCTATAAATTCTGTCTTCAAAACAGACCACCTGGGCCCCAAGCCTTATTGCAGCCAACAGCTCAGACCCTCAGACTCTCCCCCAAAGCCTCCTCCCAGGTCCTCGAGCCACCCTCACCCCAACAGATATAACCTCCACACAACCCAGAGGCAGCTCTCTTTAAAAAAGCGAAAAGAGGCTAATGAATGCTCACAGCTTTACATAAAGGGATTTGCTCCATTCCTCCCATTTTGTTCCAAGTGGCAGGGCCCCCTGCCTACCCGTGACACCCGTGCTGACAAAGGACTGCTGCCCCCAAACCTAACACCCTTCCTCCTTAACCCCCTAGGACTAATCGAGTCAAGCTGCTGGGGGTGGGGGGGGGGCTTCTGCAGCCCCAGACCCGGACTGAGCCCCTCCTTTTCTCTTCGTTGACTCACTTCTGTTCTGTTCGAATGGGGAGTGACCCACCACGACAGGCGGCGTGGCTGAACAGAAAGGCCACTCTGGCTCAGCTCTGAGCCGCGGCCCTGCTACTTGCTGGCTAGAGGAGCAGATCACGTCACTGCTCCGAGCCATGGCTCCCCTTCGAGAAATGGAGGATTGCATCAGTCTCTCAGGGGCTTGTGGGCAGTAAATATGATTAAATAGCAACATCACTAAAAGTCAAAGAAGAGGAAAAAATCATCCAACACCACTGCTGTAACACCGCCACAGAGGGGGCATACACTGATACATTTTTGCCATGTCTTTTTCCCTCTGTTTACTTGTGGGTTTTTGCATAGTTCCAATCCTGGAAAACACACAATTTGAATCCTTGCTTTCTTCACTCAACTTTCCCTCTGAAGTATTTGCCCAAATTATTGTGTCTTCATAACTATCATTGTAAAGCAACTGATAAATAGGGAATAATTCCATCAGAAGCTTGTAACACTCTATTTGGTAAAAACGATAATAATAATCCTACTTTTTTTCTGATTATCAAAATCATGCATGCTCATATCAAATTTGGAAATCATGGGAAAGTAAAAAGAGATGAAAATATTGCAGAAGCCCATAATTCTGAGTAAATGAAATACTTTCTGAGAGAAAGGGAACCCTGAGAAACTGCTAAAATAATCCATCATATGGCTATGGTCTTATTTACAGAATCATGAGGAAGTTGTTGAAAATGTAGCATTATTTCCAATACTTTGATGTTCTAAATAACACATTGAAGTAAACGTTCTTGTATGTGAATCTGGGCATATTTCTAATGGTCTCCACTGCCAGGAGAACAGGTCAGCTTACTCTCTGGCCCCATGCATATACTTTATTCCCCAAGGTACCCTCACCTTCACCTTGAAGCTCTGATCAGGCTCATTCTTGTGGGCATGCAGTTCAGGCCAGATCCATATTCATGGGGCCTACACTGTGAGCCAGACACTGAAGCTACAGCCAAAAATAAGAGCAGCCCCTGTCCTCAAAGAGGGCGTCAGCATCCAGGGAGCTCCCACACTCCAAGGGATGCATACAGAGGGGCCACACTCCCTCTCAGGCTCACACACCCAGCAGCTCTAACCCAAATTTAGCAGGGAGATAGGGAGGGACGGGAACAGACCAATATGTTTATCCATGTACACACTCCAACCAAGGGCTGTTTTCACTTTCAAAGCCCCCAGTCACAGCTGACACTGGAGAGCTACTGTTCTTTTGTATTTATCACGTACAGATCGTAGTGCTCTGCATGTCATAGTGCTCTGCATGTCTTCTGCACTTGACCCTCACAGTGACCCTACTATTACCTCCATCTGATACATGAGGTTTGCAGACTTGTGGTGGCCACTTGGCCTAGTATAAAGTGGAAACAGGGCTCATACCCAGCCAGACTGCTCCAATATCCATCTAAAGAACCACTTTGTTCTAGTAAAATCATGGCTGATTTTGCCTCCTAAATATCTTTTAAGTCTTTCCATGTCTCTCTATCTGCTCGCCATTCATGTTGGAGCCACCATCTCTTCCTACTTGGACGACTGCAGTAGCCTAATTGTCTCCAAACATTCCCTCTTGCCCGCTACAGTCCACTGGCCACATAAAAGCCAGTGTACTTTATTTAAAACCCAATTAAATCATGTCCTTTCCCTTCTTGAAGTCCTTCAGAGGCTTCCTTTATGCTTCTAGCATAAAATCCAAATTCCTCCATAGAGTCTACACAGCCTAGAATTGTCTGCTTTCCGCCCACTTCTCCTGTCTCCTATCTGCCTACTCCCTGCGCCCTTCTAAGAGCCTAGCCTCACTGCCTGTGTTCTTATTCAGAGTTGGGACCAGCCTCAGGGCCTTTACACAAGTTGTGCTCTTCTCAGCTTCCTAAGTGACTTCTCCAGGGTACTTCCCTCAAGTTCCTCCCTTCGTCCTTGCAGAGCATGCTTCAAGACTCCTTCATCACAGTGATATATATTTATCAGCCCTCCTAGTGACCGCTCACCAAGAAATAGAAGGTCAACCATTTGGGTTTTTTCCACTAAGAAGTCAGCTTTTTTTTCCCCCTTTGTCTCTTTTGTATTTTGTTACAACCATCCACTGACTAATATATTTGAGGGCTTTTTTTTTTTTATATACATTTCCATCATATTTCCTGGAGATTGTGATGGAAAGGTAGAGAGATGGGGACAGGGGGAAAAAGAAGAAAGGAGGCACATTCCTCAATTATCAAATCATCTGAGCATTCCAGAGCAGAAGAGAGCATAAATCGTCCTCAGGAGGCAGAGCTTTTGTTATTTGATCAGACTCGGTGAGCCAGATAGTGTGGCCTCAAGAAATCCTCCCAGAAATAGCCTCTATCATTTCCCACTCCCCAGGAGCACCTGCTCTACTAGCGCGAGGAGCCTTGAGCTGGCTGAAGCCAGCCTTACCTTTACAATTTGTGTAAAGAAACTGACCGTAAATTCGGCGATTTTCGGCACCCGAAACTTCCCTTTGTTCTTCTGTTCAGGCTGATATTCTGTTCTTGTCTTCACAATCACCTGAAATGTTCAACGAGTGTTAGCACAACTGGAGACTTGAACTGCTTCTTTTTTTCTTTTCTTTTTCTCAGTAGCTAGAATTTTTATACATTGCATAAAGATCAGAAAATAAAGAACCTCCTTCTCAAACATATAAGAAAGTAGAAAATTCAAATTACCCATACTTCCCCATGCCAACAGAGACAACCATAGGTGACAATTTGGTTCACACCTTTCCAGATGTTTTTATATGCACATATATATGCATATATTAGACATATGTGTGCTATTTATATAAGCATATCTTTTCTTTTTATGTGACAGATTCATACTTCGTGAATTATAACCTATTTTAAACATACAACAATATATTAACATATTTTTATGTAGACAAATACACAATTGTATTTTGCCTTTTGATGAAGCATAATATTTCACTATATGCATATACTACAATGAATCTGATGAGTCTCTATTGTTGAACATTTAAGTTATTTTCACAGCTTGGGTTATGTAAACAAGTTATGATGAACATCTTGTAGCTCAACCTTTATATATATACTTGATTCCAATTTGACTTAGGCACTTGCACAGAGAAAAACATAAAGGTCTTTGAATCTCTTGTATCATCTTGTTTTTCTAAAGTCTGAATATTTTGCAGAGGTGGTTAATATCTTATCAAGATATGCTGTCAACCTGCCAAGACATTTATGGAACTCCATCCCACTGTGTAGGCAAAGTGGAAGAAAAAAAGAACCTGACAGATAATCAATAACCATGGCCGAGTGCCACAGTGTCAGGGGGAACACAGAAGCTGTCTGAGACTCAGGGCCTCACCTGTAAAATACGGGCAATAATCTTCCCTATTTCACAAGGTTGTTCTGAGGGTTAAATGAGATGATAATGGGTAATATTTTTGGAATTATTTATTATGTGCCAGAACTAGATCAAGCACTTCATAAGCCTTTATCTACATACCACTACTATTTCCAGTCTTGGGACAAGGAAACTGAAGCTGGGAGATACTAAGTCACTTGTCCAAGGTCACTCAGCTAAAAGGAAGCTGCCTCCTAACCATGATCACTCTTACTTCTCACTGGAGCTTAAATTAACTGAATCTTCATGGAAAATTCCCATGTTTTCCTGGAGACAGTAGTCAAGTGTACTGACTCAAGCAAAAAAATTCTCCTATGAAGAATATTCTTTAAGTCTGTGAGGCATGCCATTAACTAAATGTAGCTCAAAAAGGAAAGGATGGAGAAAGGACTACTATTACTGAACATTGCCTGTGTGGCACTTACATATGTTGGTTAAGGAGGCTCGGGGACCAGCCCATCTAACAGTTCTCTTCCTCCGCATGATCTAGAATCCAAAATTTGCAGATGTCAGTTCTGCTCTTGTGTCCCGCCCCTCTCTGTAGTCTGCTCCTCCAAACAATGGAAGTGAGCCCTGGCTCCTTCAAATAGGGAATTAGGGCAGCCAAATAAGGGTGAGGGTCTTTTGGGAGGTAGGGTGCGTTGTTCTGTTATTTTTATTTTCTTCCTATCTCCTCTTCTAAAGAATAGGAAAGCAGAAGCTTCTTTGGCACAGGTAATAAAAATAACTCTCATGCTTTGCAAATTTACCATATAGCAGGCACTGAACATTTGACATACATATCTCACTTAATTCTATGCTGTGGGGCAGACACTGATACTGTCAGTACTGTAGGAAGGTGTAAGGGTATGTGCTGGGTTTGAACACTAGCTCCACTCCTAAGCCTTCTGTGTCTTCTCCTCTATAAAGTGGGACAATAACCATAAATATCTCATTGGGTTGTTGTGAGGCTTAAATGAGTTAATAGAAGATAAGCACTCAAACCATTCATTCAAAAACAAATGTTTATTTGCACACTGCCTCTGAGTGCTGCCAAATTTTCTTCCATGGATGTTCAAAGCAGATGTGGAATGGAGCCTGGCCTGCACTTGTCAGCCTGCAGGTCCTCCCTACCCAGCTCGAACAATGCTGTTCAAGCATGCTCCTGACCTCCTTGTCTGGAAAAAAAAAAAAAGGTAGGGAGTGATGGATGAATAGAAATTTACTGGGTGAGGGGCGCCTGGGTGGCTCAGTTGGTTAAGCGTCTGCCTTCAGCTCAGGTCATGATCCCAGGGTCCTGGGATCATGTCCCTCATTGAGGTTCCTGCTCAGTGGGGACCCTGCTTCTCTCTCTCTCTACCCCTCACTCATGCTTTCTCTCCCACTCCCACTTTCTCTCTCTCAAATAAATAAATAAAATCTTAAAAAAAAAAAACTTCGTCAAAGCAGACTAGAGAAAGCGTCTCCTACTGGCCTTGAAGAAATAAGCTGACTTGTTACAAGAAGACCATGCAGCTGGAAGGCAGACTCTAGATGCTGAAAGTGACCTCAGCTGACAACCAGGTCACTCAAGAAGATGGGGACTTCAGTTCTACAACCACAAGTAACTGAATACTGCCAACAACCTCAGCAGGCTTGGAAGAGGACCCTGAGTGCCAGACGAGAAGGCAGCCTAGCCAACGCCTTGACTTCAGACCCGTGAGACACCAAGCAAAGAACACAGCTAACTTGTGCCCTGACTTCTGACCTACAAAAACTGTGAGATAATATATTTCTGTAGTTTTAAACCATTATATTTTTGGAAATTTATTGTACAACGATAGAAAACTGATATGCTTTCCCACACTCCCAAGTCCATCTCAACCAACAACCATCTTTTGGTTTGATCTGTTTGCAGCTAGATCCTTAGCCATCAGATCTCTGGTGTTTACACATCACAGAGGAAATGTTAAGAAGCATTTGCTTCTTAGTCCTTCCCTCCGCCCTCAATTTCTATGAACAGTTTTTCCAAAGCTTCTCAAAAAGCTCGAAATCATTTTCATCATTCCACATAAATTTAAAAGACCCTATGCATAGCCGACATTTTGAGACAGGTGACAGAACTTTAAAAATATTACTGTCGGAATAACATTCTAATTATCATATTAAACATTTTGTGGTTGCTTCCCTAGCATCCATTTAGATCAAAAGTCCCCAGATATTCCTTTTGGGAACCCACTGCTGCCCCTTTGTGTGGCAGCCATGTGGTTTGGTGGGATTGATGCCTCCCTTCATGATAGGAATGATACGTTAAGCCAATCAGGGCCTACTATCCTCTTGATCACAAAATATGATTGGCTCAAGATTAGGACCAATGAGATATGAGGCAAGATTGACTAGGAACTTGGGGAAAGAAGCCTCCTTGCTCTTTATGGGTGTTCCTCAAAGAGCATGCTCTTCCTCTGGCTGGTGTGGTGAGGACTTGAGTTCTGAAACTTCCGCAGAGATTGTTGTCACAATAAGGAGTAGCCGAGATGAAGACAAAGGTGGCATATGAAGGAGAGCAGAGCCAGGGCGACCCTAGAGAAATGGAGATGGGCCCTGATGACACAGTGCCCTCTGGATCACACCTTGCCTAAAGTTCACATTGAACTCTGCAGTTATAGGGGCCAATTTACACTCTTTGGGCCTTAGTCCAATTTGGATTAGGTCTTCTGTGAGGTAAAAAGATCTAGCTGATAAAAAATATGTTCCAAGAAAAATGAACTGAAAAGCTATTAGGATTTAGTAAGACGGCCAAATACTAAATAAGCATAAAAAAAACAAGAGATTTTTTTGGCACCAACAAAAAAAAAAAAAAAAAAAAAAAACCTCAAAATATAATGGATCCACCAAAACATACAAATAAAAATGTTCATGGCCACTTTTTTCATAATATCCCTGAACTGAGAACAATCCAAAAGTCCATTAATAGAAGAATGCATAAATTGTGGTTTATTCATAAAATGGAACGCCACACACATGGGTGAATCTTACAGACATTACCTTGAACAAGATCTGACACAAAATTTTTGTGTATATTATACGATTTATTTATATCAAGTTCAAAATATACATAAAAATTATATATTATTTTATATAATTTATATATAATATTTATAATAAATACATAAATAACATGTAATGTTTATAAGTATATATATACTATTTCTTTTTAAAGTCTCCCGTTTACCATTTGCAGTAATGGTGGGGGTGTTGAGTTTAGGCAGAGTTGAGGTCATAGCCCTCCTTCAAGTCCATGTCCTGCTTTGCCCTAAACCCCTATGACAGGCTGCTTATGCCCTGAGTGACTTTCTAATGAAAGGGGTTCTTTTCGGTTTCGGAGCCCCAGTTCTCAAACTACCAAGTTCAAACACAAGCCACAGGCCAGGTGGGTACCTGACCCAGGCTGGTCTTCCGTCTTGTCCTCTCTTTAGCTAAGCCACATTTTCCCCAAAAGCAACCCACGTGGCTTAATATTTTACCACCGCCCCTAAGGAAATGTTAGCTCATTAGAACCCCATCTCCGCATCAAAAGCAGGTCTTTGCCCATTTGCCTAGGACAAGAACAGACGGTCCTCTGGCCTCTTCTCTGACCTCTCACTGGTAGGCTTGTTTGCTCCCTACCCCTTGAAATGCCCTTCTCCCTTGGGTCCATGGCCGTATTTCTCTTGGTTCTCTTCCCGTTCACTGACCAGCTCTCCTCAGTTTCCCTTTCAAGATCCTCCCCTTCTGCTTGACCTCTCAATGATAGAATTTCTCAGGGTGAAGTCATGGGCGTGCTTCCCTCCTACGCACCTCCTCTGAGTATTCGCACTCCTATAACTTCCAAGTCCATCTTTACCCTTACAACTAAATTCAGACCTCATCCAGCATTCAGATTTCCCTACTGGACATTTGCCCTTGGACCAATCTGCCTAAATATACCATGTTCACAGCAAAGCTCTTGTGTTCCCAGTCCACCTGCCCCTTAATAGTTCTTCCCCAAGCCATCCGCCCCCAAATAGCAGCATTATCCATGCCAGTGCTTATGTCAAATACAGGAATTCTCCCATGACTCCTCCCTTCCCTGCACTCTCCAAATCCATTTCAGCACCAGCTCCTGCTTCTCAAAAACTTCTCTCAAATCAACCCATCTGTCCAGTCAC